AATTTATCTTCATTCTTTTTTCATAAAAAAAAAAAAAAAAAAAAAAAATCAAAGTTATCACTATTACACGACGTACATTTTGAGCTCAAAAAAAAAAAAGGATAATTTATTATACTTTAAATGGATTCTCTGATAAAAAACTTTTTATGAACGAAGGTTCGGATGAATCAGGTTCATTCCCTTTTTCATATTTTAATTCATCTGCTAGTTTAACTGTCAATTCTTTATCAACTAAATTAAAAGTTTGTTATAGTCTCAAAAACGTGTTTAAAAACTTCAACCCACGAAAAAATATAAAGGTTTACCTGATACATTAGGTAATGACCTAGTACAAGTAACTGAAAACCCGCGAACGTCTCCCGTAGAAAGATAAATTCTGGAGATGCTACTTCTAAAAAATGTAGCTGACGTTAACTGCGTAGTAGGTGAGACAAAACGTATTCTTGACACTGCTGTCATTGAATTTTTTGTCATAAATGTAGATATGGCTGCTGTTATTCTTCTACCAAACATATTGGACATGTTTTTTGAAAAGTGTTTGTTGAATCGTGGTGGATTTCATTGATAAAAACTTTTTATTACTGATTATCGGTATCTAGATTTCTCGGGTGACGTCACAAATGTGAGTCATCGGATACCAAAGCAAAGTAAAGTTCTCGCCCCGAAAATCCAAAAGAATCATAAAAAATTAATTTTAATCATAAGTGATTACCGAAGCATGGGGGACTTTCGTTTCCGATAGTAAGAAATAATAAAAGTATATTATACTGCTTAATTTACAGTTTAACGTTGTTTTCTGGTTTTTTTTTTTTTTTATGTTATTATTTAATTAAATAATTAATTTTTTGATTTTATTATAAAATTTATAGACTGTTTTCGAAAGTTGTATATTCTTCAGGAGATATTTAATTTAATAGAAGTCATTCTATTATTATATAATCGTATAGTTTTGTTAATTATATAAAAGTTTTAAAAATCTTAATAAAGAATATATAACTTCTTATTAAAGATTTTTCTAATAAGTTTATATACTTGTAAATTGTTATTATAAGCTAGTTAAAGAGTTTTATTCTTCTAAAACGCGACTTATTTTACTTCGAAATTAGAAATAATATATGAATTATGTGGCTGCGTAGTTCAATGATTATCCATCTGCTTATATCATGTGTTAACGAGAACATTTGGAAATGAAAAGTATATAGGAATTAAATACTTGATTTTTTATTAACTTTTAAAAGTTAATACCAAATAATATGATATATTTTATATAGGATCAGATTACTTTTCGATATTAATACATCAGAACAACAGGCAGAGCCAATCTCGCTTACTGGCGAAGAAGAAGAAGAAGATGGTGAAATAGATGTAAGATATTTGTCTTGTTGGAAATATTTTTTTTGAACTCTATCGGTATTGAATAAGTATACCGATCACGTGATTGTGAAGGATGCGTCTCAAGATGAAGAAGAGGAAGATGACGACGACGATGATGATTCAGCCGAACAATCACTACCAATCAGATGTTCCATAACTGTTGAAAAAGTATGTGAAAAAAAAATTGATAATTTAATTAAAAAAAAGTATCTTTTAATGTCGAGATTCATATTAATGATTTTTTTCATAATAAGCCTGGCAAAGGTGCATTGGGATTTGAGTCAATAGTCGCCGATGGTGTTTTCCTTATAAACTTTGTATCATATTATCAAGATTCTAAATTAGCTCGTGATTGGACAGCTGAGGCCGATTGGAAGAGGAGGGGTTTTTATCCTGGTCCACAATTTGAAACTTTGGATAATGTTTGTATTCCATTTAATTTATTATAGCAAATTATCGAATATTTATAAATATATACTTATCACTCGCTAATTCGTTTGATTTTTGTTTGATTTTTTTTTCAACTAATAGGATATCCAAGTTCTTTTTGAGAAATATTTGGAGGAACGGGGTATAAATACAACTGTAGCTCTTTTTATTTCAAATTACGTGGAACATAAAGAGCAAAAAGAGTATATCAATTGGTTGGAAAACGTTAGGAAATTTGTTGATGCATCATAATTTCTTAAGAATTAATTTGAGTTAAATGATTATTATTCATAATAAACTTTATTATTATTATTATTGGATAAGGTAGTATCTGAAAACTTTAGGCCACACAAAGTTAATTTCTTGGTTTTCATAACATAAAATTTTAAAAGTGACTCGGCAGCCCGGCCGGGTTATGTAAACCAAAAAAAAAATATTTTTGTATGGCCTTATAATAAAATCTAAAAAAAAAAAAATATTATATTATTTCATTGTGAAATAAGTATCATATAACAATCTGTATAATAATTAGTATACTTCAAAATTCAATTAATTCGTTATTTCTTTTTCTTTTTTGTACGAATTGGAATATTGTAAGGATCTAAACCGTCTCTATAATGTTGTGTCCACGCAAGAATCCATCTGATTTATTGAGATTAGTAAAAAGATGAATGTTAAAAATTGTGTTAAACAAGAAAACAAAAAGGTACCGTCGTTGTTTAGTAGGTAATTCCAAATCAACTTTCATTTCACGCGGTGAAGCCGTGAATAAATGGTCCCAATCCTATAGCAAATAAAATTTTGGTTAAGGTAGGTTAATGTGAGAAGTAAAATAAAAAATAAAAAAATATTACCCGAAATTTATCAACCAGAGAGCCACAATCACGACCGATTTTTTCTAGAAATTCCTTGTGTGTAGTAACAGAACCTTTACAAAAAGAAAGGATCAAAAAGAATTTTGAAATTGGCACAATGAAATTTAAAAGGCCAACCTCTAGGTGGTGGTATGGATTTTTGCCTATTTTGAGAGTATTGACGGGATATCAACGTAGTGAACACTATTTTGTTTATTGGAATTTCTGGCGACAAGGAAAGAAATGAAAACCTATTCAGAAGAATGGACATTACTTTTTTTTCGATCAACCGCTACATCAAATTGGCAATACCGATACGTTAGGTGATAAGGGGATACGTATGATTATTTGATAATAACGAATAATGGAGTAACCAGTATTTCCAAATTTGACAATAAACGTTTTATGTTCATGTTTTTCTTCGACTCGTTTAATTTACAATGTCAGATTCAACTACAAACGCTACAATTGAACATAAATCTCCAGAAGACGAGTTTAACATTTATATTATGGAATTTTTATCAACTCTTAAGAGTGAGGGAGAAACTGAAGAAGAATTGGATCCAGAAGCTAGATCGGATTTGATAAAGTATTGCATCTGTCAGAAACCTTTTGAAAAAGGTTTATTGTAAATTTTGAAAATCCGTTCCTATATTCATTCTCATTCTTTTGTATTTTATAGAGAAATTATTGAACTACAAGGGGGTTTAAAAGGTATTTTTAAGGACCTTTATTTAAAAACTTTTTACAACTTTGACTAAATATTTTATTTCTTTAATACATATTAGCTAATTTATAGAATTGTTAATAACTTTTGATCTATTGATTTATTTAAAATAATTTAGCTACCAAAATGTTTGTCTTAATAAGATAAT